TCTCTCTCTCTCTCTCTCTGTCCGCTCTTTCTTCTTTTTCCGACCCTAAATTCTCATTGGTAGAATCCGTTTCCGCCGCGTGCCTGCTTGTAAAATCAGTACATCCGGGTGTCAAAGCGATGTCACCCGAACGGGTGGCCCGGCTACGCATCAGTTTTAAATTCGATCAATGGGTGACACCAAGCGTGAAACACTTTTAGGGTTGAAACTTTAAAGGCCGCAGCTCGCGAAAGAGCAAATCGCAGTTACAACCGTGAAACTCGGAGGGAAGGAGGGGGAGGGTGGGGAGCGGGTTGTGGGAACCCGGCGTTGTCGAGTGCAGCCGGAACTTGGAGAAGGACGATTCGTTTCGAACCCCTCGAACCTCGAGTTCCAATGTCCTTTCTTTTTCCTTTTTTCCTTTTTTTTTTTTTTACCGTCGCGCGTCGCTCGTTCGAGATCAATGGTTGAAAATCTTTCTGCAAAGGGAAAAATAAACATACCTGCCGCGGTTAAGAACGACAAAGTCGACATACAAAGAGGGGGATTGAGTTTGCCGCGTTCAATTTATCGTCCGTTAATACGTACACTGTCGAACAGAATCGAAAAACCGTGGTCGCCGCGAATTTTACTCGAGATAAATTTCGTTTTTTGCTAATTGCGTAACGTCATCGTGCGCGATATGCGAACGACAAGTGGTAAATTCCTGGTGTCACGCGGGTACCCGCCGCGAGCTCCGATGTAATACGCGTCGATGTAAAAACCCGCCGCGTTTCCTTTTTTCTTTTTTTTTTTTTTTTTTTTAACATCGGTGATTGCTTTAGGTATGGGTCAATTGACCCGCGCGGCTCGACCCAGAATTTACAAATTTCCCGATCGTCGGCCGCGGTGCGCCCGTGACGGGGTGATTTTGTAATACAAACAAAAACCATGGCGGTACAGAGTGCATCGCACGGCAGGGTGGAAGAGAGAACGGGAAGAAGAAAGATAAAGAGAGAGAGAGAGTGGAAGGTTGCCTGGCAACCGGATCCACGCCCGTGTAATTCATTTTAGGGAAGTTTCTCTGTATGCAACCACCCTCTATTGCACTCACCCTCGCGCGCGATGCACTCCTGCCACTCTTCTGCTCCTGGTCGATGCACACAAACGATAGATGCAGCCAACTGACCGACGAACGGAATCGTAGTGATCTGATTTCAAACCAATCAACGGCGGTTTCGCGCTTAATTTACAATCAGACCTGATTCGAATCATTCGTTATACGACGTCCACAACTGCAAGCGCCCCTAATGAAAATATTTTAATCGCCGTGCACAATTGCCAAGTTCGTTCCTCTCTCGTTCGTTTGAAAATTCGTAGCAGGCCGGATAGGATTTATAAAGGGGAGCGCGGAGTAAGCGCCTGATATTCGATTAAATGTCCACAAAGACAACAAACTGCATTTCGATTTAAATGCCGAACGACAAAACCCGATTACGCCGAATTACCGTTTAAACGATAGCGTTATTTGTCCTACGGAGCGC